AAAATACAATTTTTGAAAATTTATTTATTTATTTATATCAAATGGCAGGCGTCTTGATGGTTATCATTAGCCCTTTAGTTGACTTCAGGCTGTACAGAGGGAAAGGAACATCAAATTGAAAAAATTGAGAGGGGTAGGGGGAGCAGAAGAGTGTTTCAAAGATGCAAGAGACAAACACAAAGGTAGAAAAAAGGTAAGAAGAGTACTGTGAAAATAGTCGAATGTGGCATAGAGTGAGGTAGTGGTAGTTTGAAGTGAGAAGTCAACTGCCAGTCAATAGACTTTTTTGCCGTATGAATAAACGTTGCCCAGGGTGCACCACGTGGAGGTAAGTCTATCGCACACCCCAATTTGTGGAAATTTGTTCAGGTGAAGTGTGTTCATTATGCCTGTCACATGTTGGTTTTAATTGGACTCTTTCAAGGCAATCAATCCTTTCATCTACTTGCGCTGTGGTGACTTTTTCACCACACTCATCTTCTTCCAATTCCCACTGTTCCTTATCATTCCTCAATTCAAGTTTGTAGAACGGGACAATTGCATCCTGTTGGTCTTTAGAATGGAATCTCCATGTCTAATGTGCATGAACTCCTTAGTCTTTAGGCATGATTAATTCTACTTCTCTTTGTTATAGTAATAGGCGACCAATAAAATGGTAGCAATTTCAAATTTAACTTGGATCAACCGAAATCGAAATAAAAGTAACAAAGGGAGAATTACGAATGGTTTACACAGAGAGAAGAGAGAAAACCGCACAAAGGCGGTTTATGAGCCACTTGGCCAAATTTTAATGCCCGGTAGAAATGAAAACTTCCATGGAGACTAAAATAATTGTCTGGCAACACTTCCCTCTTCCAAATCATTGGGGATGCCATGTGGCATTTAAATAATTTAAATTACCAACTTAATCTATATATTACCCGGTGTAATCTCCCCAACCCCCCCCCCCCACCCCAACCCACCCCACCCTGGTCTGACTCCGACTGTCCTAGATTTCTTAAACACACCTCCTCGACTTCACTCTTCTCTTTCACCTTCTGGTCAGTTCCTTCAGTTGGATCCTTTCTGTCCTCGGGTTCTCCAACTTTCTGTTGTGTGGCCCTGTCAAATCTAGGGACATTAGATTGTAACTATTAGTGAATGTGAGCAACCAGGTAATGTCGGCATTAAAATAAGGCAAGAATTTCACTCCTCTGACTTTATGATCCATTTCTACTCGATTCCTACATACTAATTTCATTATCATTCTGACTAATACTCTTTTTCACTAATCAAATTACTTTCAGCAAGAGGGGGTGTGCAATAGACTTACATCCACACGGTGCACCCTGGGCAACGTATACTCATACGACAAAAATGTCTATTAATTGGCAGTTGACTTCTCACTTCAAACTACAATGGCCCAATTGTATGCCATATTCTACCACTTTCACAGCACTCACCTCACCTCTTCTCTACCTTTGTGTCTATCCACAGCACTCACCTCACCTCTTCTCTACCTTTGTGTCTATCTGTCTCTTTTACATCTGTGAATCACTCTTCTGTTCCCTCCCCCTCGACTTTCTGCTACTTTGATGTTCCTTCCCCCTATGAAGCCTGAAGTCAGCTATTGGACGAATGATAATTATCAAAACGCCTACCATTTGAAATAAATAAATAAACTTTTAAAAAGAGCGATTGTAAGTTCACGTTCACATTACTTTTAAATTTAGATAAAGGAGAGTACATTGTAAATAAAATATTCATGAGTAGAAAAGTACAAAAACCTTCTCCCTCGTTTTAAATGATGTTACTTTAGGCCACTCCTATTTTATCCATATATTGTGTCCGGAAAAAATTGGTTTTAGAATTCAAAATGCAAAATGGGCATTCAATGCGATAATAAGTAGTTGAAATTTTTATTTGACCGGATTTACTTATCTAGCATATATTTTTAAAATCTATTCGTTTTTTTCAGAATTTTATTTACGCTTGTAATTTCGATAAGCCATATATTGACAATCAATTCCATTTTCACAAAACTACATTTAGACATGAAACAGTTAATAATGTAAAACCACTTGAAAGAAACTGTAGCGGATTGCTACACTAGTAAAGCCTTGGCTGACTCAAAAATCTCTATGGAGGAAAGAGACGTATCACATAGTACACGTTTATTCAGGACGTGTGTTGTGAGTATTGCGTGAACAAATTGTTGAGCAGAGAACCCTCGGTAGAATTTCTAGTCTGGTGGATGGATGTTAAAAGAACCTTGTGAAAAGGCTTGGTCGCGAAGTTATTTGAAGCTATACCAATCGGAATTTAAATGCAAGGTTGATAAGGAGTACTTTTAAGGATCATTTAAAGGTAATGAAAGTCCCAACAGCCAGATAATAACAGAGTTTGAAGGCAGTTAAGAAAATCCAACATGCACTCTTCTTTGGGGTAATAGGTACGATTAATTCAGCTCATGACTTATGTAAACTCCATAATGCCTCGCATAGGGTGTCATGTTAATCCCCACAGGCAACATTCCTTATTTGCATGTTTCTAGCCTCACAAGTGCACTTTTCTGATTGTGCTATTCTTAAGGAAGCAAATGTCTTATTTTGAGCATCTCAATATATATATATATATATATACCCATAGATTCACATTATCTTATTTGTCGTAAATTGCAATTTGTTTTTACCTAGATTTTGGGGATGAACGTTTTCAAACCGATAAGCGAATATCGTAAAAACTGGTTTTTAGGAAATTTATCGATTTTTCATTGGCAAACATTTCAGAGGGAATTGATTCGTTGCTGAGTGGCTTTAGTGCTCAATGATCATATGACTGATCCATATTCTCAAGTCAATAATAAGACCCTACGTTACTTAATCTTCTATGAGGTAGGCTGATAAAAATGTGAAAGTACTTTTGAATTTAGATCTTTTACCTTTGTCATTATTTCAATCGATCGAATTTTAGTTAAGTATTTTCAGAAGTTGAATAAGGCTGTAGGACACGTCATCGCAGCCTGCACGCCAGGATTGGGAGGTGCGACCGTACAAACAATGACCGAGCACTAATCCGCCATCCTGATCATGATTAAGCTTCCTGCGTGTGCACTTTATCCGCTACATACGTACTGAATAAACGTGTTCCGTGCTACACGTCTGTTTCCTTTATAGCTTTGTCTTAGCTTCCCGGGGGCTTTCGAGTTGGAAAAAACTGCTATAGAGCTTTCTGAGAATAGTCAAGGTTATTGAGGTTGCTAATCCGCTACAAGGGTATAAGGGAGAAAAGATTTATCATTTGAATTTCGAATTTCATCTTTCATTTTGACTAGTATAGCATGCCTTCTGGGTTTCTTCACAGATGTGGCATTGATGTGGTTGTTTGAATATCAATGGTTTTAAGATTAAAAGATAAATATTGTGGGAACTGCTTACTCCTTCACGTTGCATGAAACATATTGCTGAACTTAACTCAATCAGATAATCTTAAATTCTACCTAATTTCAAAAATAAATATAACTTTTGTTTAAATTCAGGCTTTGAGTGGTTTTTTTGAGCAACTTTGCTTACTGTTTTATTTACAACTTAGCAAATAATAAAACAATATGATAACAATTGCATTCTCATGCCCGGGCAAAAATAACGAAACTAATGCTTAAAATATTCACATTAATTCAGACATTTGAATGTTTGAACTATAAACAAAAATTTTTATCCCATATTTCCGAAAATCTTAATAGATAATGATATGCGGGGCCTATTTAGTGGAGAAAATTGATTTCTATTTATTGATAAGTATTATCTGAGCGCTTCATTACTGGGCGTACAATGTAATGACTCGATGGAGCGTAATGTTATAGCAATTGGAAATTTCACCTGCATGAAAATTAAAGTAGGACAATATTTCAGTGAATATATTTCCTTCTTTTAATAGATGACATTTGTGACATAACACAATAAGAAGACGCATGGTTGACCAAAAGTGGATTTAAGGAGGTGGGACAACCAATGGAAGGCCTTTCAGAGGGAGTGAGAGGCTAGTTATTGGAGGTTATTTCACGGATCCAATCCAAGTAGGAATTGACGCGAGTGTAAATACCCGGATAGCCGGAGGCGCAGTTGACTCCGAAGGAGATGATGCCAACCAGAATGAACTGGCCATCCACTCCCGATCGACACATCATTGGGCCGCCTGAATCAAACTGATTGGATCGCAAAAAACAAACATATTCAAAGTTAATGTTAGTGAAATAATGACCAGCGAAAAAATAAGTGATTAATTGGACTTGACAAAAATAGATTTGAGACGAATGTGCCCAACAAGGATTATTGTGCGACGCGAATCAAAATTCAACTTATTCCCACTAATTGGAATGTCCGCTATCTTCAGGTCTTTATCGTGAATATCGAGATGATTAAGCACAAAGCCGTTCTAAGTCATCCATTTCTGGTCTAGATCTAACCTAATTTAGAAGATGGGATCTATTTACTACATTTTTAGAAGATGCGCCGTAAAGATTCAGGGGAGGGGTCAATTTTCCAGAACTTTCTCGTTGTTCAAAAGGTAAAACAGGACACATAATCTAGGTAATGCTAAACATTAAGTTGCGTTAACTGAAATTATTAGAGGTAATGACTTGTATGGTCTTACTTCAAAGATAAATTTTATCTCAAAGTGGAAAAGAAGGCCTCAAATTCGGTGTTTTTAAGATGTGAACGAAACGAAACAACTGAAAAAATGGACTTACATTTTAATAAACAGGGGTGTGCAATAGAATTACCTTCACGCGGTGCACCCTGGGCAACGTATACTCATACGGGATAAAAAGTCTATTAATCGGCAGTTGGCTTCACACTTCAAACTACAATGGCCAAACTGTATACCATATTCTACCACTACACAGTACTCACCTCACCTTTTCTCTGCCTTTGTGTCGGTCTCTTTAACATCTGTAAATCCTATTTCTGTTCGCCACCCCTCGACTTTATGTTACCCTGACGTTTCTTCCCCCTGTGAAGCCCGTAGTCAGCTAAAGGGTTAACGATGACTATTAAAACGCCTGCCATTTGAATTAAATAAATAAATATTCCAGCGAACAATAATTTAAAAAAATTGGAAACGGAAAAGATAAATAGGATCTCGGAAAATATGACCATTTAGTGTCGATTTAACTCATTACAAAAAAATTCTTGAAATGTAATTATATCAAATTATTCTAAATTACAAGATTGACACGGCTTATTGATGTAGAGAAATCAACATAAAATAGTAAGTTCAAATAATTTGAGAATAATAACTCTTGCAAAAATACTTTCTCATAAATCACTGTGCTAAATCATTACGATTTTAGCACAATGAGAATTTGTTTTATTTTATTCGGATATAGCTAATTTTGACACTTCGCATGTAATGGAAGAATTCAAATTATAATCAATCGATAATATTTGATACATACCGGAAACGATTGCCTGCCAAAACACCTTCACAAATTGGGAGTATACACTCAACCCACATGCCCTCTATGTAACCTACAGGAGGAAATGGAGAAGACCCACCTGTTTCGATATACTGAGAAGCGAGAAGACAGCTAATAAACTGTTATATACGTACCCCCCACCCATGGGGAAAGCTGAAGTCAAAATTTAAGAGCTAATGATAAATACCATAAAGCCGGCCATTTGAAATAATAATATTTGATACGTTTTTGAGGTTACAAATGGCTGGCTGCAAAGATTTTCTAAAAGAAAAATGTAACTATCGATTGGTTGTCGACTTTAAATCTGCCAAGGCATTACCAGGGTCCATTTCACTGCGCGAAATTTGTTTTGACCGTTAAATCAAATGATTGTTTTGCGAAGACAGGAATCTCTATCGTGTTCTTAAAATATACTGAGGTTCTTTGTCAACACGTTATATGTCACTATAACAGCCATTATTAATACCATCTATTGTAGGCTTCAACACTCATAAACGTTCCTTGCCAGTTGAAGTCAACTAACTCCTACACCCAGAGCCAACTTCAACTTACCGGATACCAAAATCTCCATGAAACAAAATTGTCCTGTTAGATTTCATCCGCCTTTCAAATTCGTAAATGTCAATTTGGAAGATTGTTTTAGTCCATCAAAATTATGCAATAAAGGACAGACATCGGTCTTTCCCATAGGCATCAATCAACTTTTAGCAGGTGTAAATCAGATTTTTGGATAATAAAATTGAGTTATTTTGGTTACCTATTGTCTAGAGATTGTATAATCTCCACCATAGTTCTCAGAATTCCTGTTTCAATGAAGAGGAGTTATCAAAACATCCTTTTTGTGTAAACGGATGTGCATCCAGGTATGCATAATGCCAATAAAAAGCAAATAAATTGAACTTGAAATCAGCATCTAACGGAAGTCGGATTGTTAGCCCGATTCAGCTTTAATGGACTTTTTACATATAATGCATTAATAAAGCGTACCTAATTTAATTACTTAAAAATGGGATTGAGCTGAAGCTTAGCAAAGTAGTAGACCCAACCCCCCCCCCCCCCCCCCCCCCGGGAAGATGTTAGTGTTAGTGGAGTGTCATGGTAACAGGGTCAACGGTGCCCCCATTTCGTCTCACATAGCCCACATTCCCACACAGCAAAGTTATTTTATGCAAATATAGTGATGTTTGAAGTTGCCCGATTGCATGCAGACACGGTTGTGACTGTGCTCCTAGCTGTTTCACACTCCTAGCGTTCATTTCAATCAATGTTTTATAGAAAGGTGAATATGTCGTGATTTTCATCATTAACACTAGCATACTTAACATTGCAATTACAGGGTGTGCGATAGACTTACCTCCACGTTGTGCACCCTGGG